TATTATTGCCTATTTGTAGGTAAAATGTGTGACAATAGGTAATGACGTCTCCGAAAAGGTCCGGTTAAGCAATGTAATATATTTTTACTGCACTCTAGAACAAAATGCGGTTACAAACAAATTACTGCATTGGCAATTTGTTGACGTTGTAAACTATATTGACGACCTCGGTGACACAACGATTTGCACTGTGGACGTTGGACTAGGAAATTTTGGATTCGATTCCTGGTTGGACGCAATTTGGGCGCGACGGGACGAACAAGTTGTCCATAGCAGTTCCAGCGCCACTCGGAGTCGATGCCTTATTAGAATAGTTTTATTTGAGATAATAAATACAAAATATTGCTGTAGTATTTATGTATGTCTACAGAGTACATTACGTATAGGTATAAAATAATATTAAACACACTATGTATCATCGAGTATATAACCAGAAATAGAGACGAAATGTCAATTAATTTGTTTAAAAACTATTCTGCCAAATCATTACGGTGACAATTGCACTCCTATTGGCCAACCCGAATTCAAAACAATTGACGGGTGTCGCCAATTGTTTCACTTCAAATCGACCAGTTTAACTTGAGCTTTGCTGTATGGACGAACATTGAAAAATTACATATTTAATTACCGATGAAATGTCTGTATTTCCGTTTGTAATTAGATATTTTGCTGTTTTTCGCACACCACCGAATGGAACAACCCCCCGTTGTTAGAGATATTATCTTTATTAAAATAAATATATAATATTTTCGGAATATACGGAGACGTCACAGGTCAGTTGTTGGCGCTGTACCATTTCAGCTTTCTAATTTGTGATTTCAGCGCAAACGAGAGTTGATATTTAAAAGTGATATAAGGCCCATTTGCCTGTTGAGTTGCCAGGGATGGATGGCCCTATTTCGTCTCTATTTCTGGTTATATACGCGACGCTATGTATAGAATAAATATTTTAACATAAATTAAAATTATTTCTGTCAGGTTAATATTTATCTTTCAATTGCGTTTCAAGCGAAGTGAAGAATTGTAAGTGACGACAAAATAAACTAAACAAACCAGACGCTCTTTTGACCTTTAACCCCGACTCTATTCAATGGAATACATACAATACTCATTATTGTATAAATAAATATATCGTGTGTCAGGCTTTTATTGTTTAGGCAGGATGTAAGATTTCTTTTAGTTCACAAAACTAGATAAAAACTTATTTTTCACCGACTTCAAAAAAATGAGAAAGCTCTCAATTCGACAGTTTTTTTTTCTTTTTTTTGTGTGTGTTACGCAAGTACTCCGACATTTGTGAACTATATCTATGTTGTGAACCGATTACGATGAATCTTTTATTGTTGGAAAGGGAGTACCTTAGTAGTGGTCCCTTTCAAATTTGAAGAAAATATTCCACCTCTGAGGGCGGCAAATTAGGGGATGAATCCGGTTTATTGAATTTCACCCACTCCGTTAACTGATTTCAATAAAACTCTGCTAATAGATCTAATTCCACGAACTTTTGAGGTCGTTTTATTTTTTTATAAAAACGTTATATTTATACGCCAAAGTTTCTAGAAAATGTTATAACCTGACTAATATTTACTATTGAATAAATTATTTCTTTTTTTTTTAAATAATAACGCACACACTCAACATAGCCCTGCACTAGGGAAACGCAGTGTCGCCGGTGCCATGGACACACATAGGCAGAAGCAAATTACACCCAAACTCACGAGAGAAATAATGTAGGCCATATCCAATATTTCTCCCGGCCTGGGACCTCTGCGTGGAAGTCCGGTATGGTAACCGTTCCGCCACGGAGGCAGTTAAGATATTAAACAGCCCTCAATTCGTAAACTAAAAACTCGATACCATTCAACGGAAACTAAACTAAACAGAGTCCCTTTAATCTGACTCCTACTTTTCGTGATATATCCATACCAATAGCCGACCGTCTCCAGCTTCTTGACCTATCGTCCAATTTGTACTCTCGTTTTATTTACACAATCCATAGCCAAAAATACAGCCAGGAAGCTTGGCATCGTTTCCAAGGTGAGGCGTTACTTCACACCGGAATTGTTGCTTCAGCTGTGAAAGCACGAGTCCGATCGTGCATGGAGTACTGCTGCTATCTATGGGATAGCTCTGCTAAATAACAATTTACTGTTAGTTGAAAAACGTGTCAAGAGGCTTATTAGGTGACTGGGAATTAGAAGGGGTGGTGCTGCAGAGCTTGAACACTGCTGCAAAGCATATCATGCATATATACACATACATACATATCATCAAGCATATAAGCGTAGGCTTATCGGTATTCTACACGATATCTCAGAGAGAGTGCGATGGAATTGCACGGTTTAATTTCGTCTTCCCTTTTCCACCACCATCGGGGGACTAGACGTGGAAATCCAGCCCTATAATGTAGATATTCCGAGGATTCCCAAGACTCGTTTCGCTTCCGCATTTATATATATAGCGAACGGTTGTAACGTGGAATTCCCTGCAGAATTATTTCCTGAACGCTATAACTTAGACGTTATTTAGAGTCAATTTCACACGAACTAAACAGGAACTAAACTATGGATTGTGTTCTCCGTACTGTTTGCATATGACACAACAGTTATAGTTAGCGCGCGCGCGTACGAACAGCTGGGAGAGAGAATCGATGAGGAGTGTGAGCAGCTCCAGAGGTGGTTTTCATCGAATGGGTTGCCGCTGAATATCACTAAATCCAACGTCATGGTTTTTTCGGGTCGAGGTCTCACAGTTCCTCCGTGTGTAGCAAGCAATCCGATATGCAATGCGAGTAGGTTCCTTGGCTTCACTATGGACTGGAACCTTAACTGGAAGGTGCCATGTTGATAGACTGAGTGGTGCAGTCTTTGCGTTGCGTAAACTGAAATTGCTTATTCCTGATTCTGCATTAAGACAGGTCTATTTTGCACATTTCCACTCGCTGATGTCGTACGGTTCACTCCTATGGGGTAACTCCATGCCAATAGAGTCATGCCAATGCAAAAACGTGCTGTACGCGTATTGGTTGGGGTAAAACACAGACATTCCTGCAGAAATCTCTTTGTAGCGCAACGCATAATAACGTACTACTCACTCTACTTATACGAAATTGTAATGTACGTTAGAAATAATCTTTATTCATTTGGTACTGTAAATGTTTCTGGCATCCCACTTCGCCGTACCGGTCATTTGAGAACAGTCCCCAGACGCATGGCACTTGCAGAGAAAAACCCGCGTGTCATCGGACCTACTTACTATGAGCGTTTACCCGCTACTCTCAGACTTGAACCGTCTGACGAAACATTTAGGCGCCGGCTGAAAGACCTTTTCTTGAAAAATCCTTTATACTCTGTAAATGAATTTATGGACTTTAAATTGTAATGAATTGAGTATTTTCTATTTTTATTCTAATTTTTACCGCGTTAACATACTCTTGTATAATTGTTATCAACTTATGGCGATCCTTGATGGAGAATGATATTTGATATGTAGTTTAATGACAACAATATTATATAATGATTTGGTAATTTTGTATTTATTGTGTATTTTCTTATAATTTTCTTTTTTTGTCTGACGATCTCTATATAATTTCTTATACTTTGGACATGTAGTGCAATTTATACTGTAATGTTTATATTTGAGAAATAAATGAATCTGAATCTGAATCATGGGATAGGTACTGTGACATTTCCAATTATTACGTTCCACGCACATTATTTTGAACTTATTACAAAAAGAAATAGTAAATTTCCAAATTGTCGGCTCCACCGAATAAACAGGTAAAGGAAAAATCTGCAAGTTTAGAGGAGCGATTTTTAAAACTGAAAATTTTTAAAAGTGATTGGATATACATAAATACAAACTTATATCAAAATAACAAACACAAAAATGTTGATATTTATCAGAAAGAAATAAAAAAGTCATTTAAATTTATATTCTTGTAAAAATTACTTTGACGACTGTTTGCTTATAGTGTTTACACTATTATTCGTGGGAAAAGTTATATATTTACCATTAAATGTAACATAATGTTACTTTAAAAATGGAAGTAAATTAATTTGCTACTCCGCGAACCCAGTGAAGGTTATATCGTGCAAAACAGCTGCACTTGTGTTGCATATTTTTTTTCATGCAGTTAATTTTTCCCACCCATTTTTATTAACATGGACATCCGCAAAGTTACGCCTGAATGTATTAATTATTTAATATTACTCCGTTTTACTATGAAAGATTTGTCAATGCGAATATTATATAGTTACATGGTTATTCTAGTAATTGGTCATAAATTTGAAAGGTGCAAAAATGCATTACAATTTCAAAGTTTTTTTAAGGTTTATTTAGTACTCTGTACTGACGTTATAGTAACTTAATAACGTAAAATATTTGTATACGAAATGTTGTTTCTTCTTGTGCGGTGTGCGCTGTATAATTTGCTATGCAAAATTGTGAAGTAATTTACGCGGTAGCGACAAATCTCACAGGAATCTCGCGATATACTTTTTTCCATCCTCTATGTGATATAGGCACTGAACCTTTTTGAAATATTGGACATACAGTGGTTATGAACTTATTTTTTCTTAACTTTGGATTAAACTCTTTCAGTCGAAATATTAAAGATCATAGTCATTGAAAGTAATATCACCCAATAATAGTAATGATTACGTTGAATTTAAACAATGGAATGAAATAAATTGATAGTGTCACAGTGTAATAATAATAATAATAATAATAATAACGCACACACTCAACATAACCCCGCACTAAGGAAGCCCTGTGTCGCGGGCGCCAAGGACACACATACGAGTAGACAACCACAAAATACACCCAAACTCGCGAGAGAAATAAATATAGACCATGGCAGATAAGTGTGGTAATTCCCCACGTACAAATTATATTTATTTCATCTTTGGTGTAATTTCCCATTTACAAAATATATTTCTTTAATATCGGAACACACTATGGTAATTCCCCATTTTAAATTTATTTTTGTATTGTTGTAGATGCGCGTACATCGGTGTGAAGGCTGCCTGGCGGCGTGTGGAGAGCGCCGCCACACCGCCCTGCCCACACTGACACTGCACCGCACGCTAAGCAGGTACGTTTGAACACGCTTCACGCTCTAAATTACACACACGTATATAGTGTCAAATCACGGGATAAAGAAAAGAATGGAAATGGCATCAAGCAACATTTGTATCAAAACCGGTGTCGCCACACGCACACATTTGAAAACGTAATCTTACATTAGTACTAAGATAACATAATTTTGATTGGTTATAAATTATCAAACGAAAATAGACAATAATAAAAAACTTTCGGTAAAAAAAATTGAAACTTATTTGGATCTAATAAGGTTTTATTATTACTAGTCACATAAAACCTAAAAATCCTATGAACATAAACTTCTTGGAACAAAAGCAAAAAGTTGACAATCTACAGATAGGGATGTGACATTTAATTGATATCGACATTATGTTTTATAACTAGCGGAATATTGAACTAGGCATTGCTTTATACTTGCTATAATTAGGGTTAATCACGGAGTATATGGAAACGGCATTTAAAGCAACTTCTTCGAGACTAGCGTAGCTGACTTTTACACGCACACATTTGTTACGAAAACTCATAATACACGCAAATATTAATTGATATTAGCTACGCAGGCGTGTGTGTATACGTAGCTACATGCTACAATCACAGTATTAATGATTTATTATACTGTCATCGTACTTTCATTAACCTACTAGATTTCCAGTTAATCCGATCACTGGAAGGGTTGAAATATTAAAACACAGTCATCATAAAAATCTTTATTCTCCCTGAAATATGATATATTTGTTCAACAATTACCTCTTTCTGAACTGACTGTACATGACTACACCGATAGCGTCGACGAGCTTGTCAAGAAAATGAACACACTTATTTCCGAAGGCGAAGAAGCGTATCATTTGTTTCATGAAAACTTGACAAAAAATAACTGACAATGCTTTAGAAATGTTTTCACATTTAGATGTGGTCTATAATTTGCAACTCTGAGTTTCATGTCATATATTACCTGATTAACCAAATGATTTATTTCTTAATGATTTTTTCGGTTCTTATATACAGTACATAATTTAATGTGATGTCATGAAATGCCTATAGCAAAGCCCATTTTCTCCAAAAGGATCCGGCGGGAAACTAAAAAAATAAATACAAAAACTGCAAATGTAAATCATGCCCTTGATAAAACTAAGAACTCAAGCGGACGAAGGTGACATATAATAAGCAAGTAGGGAGATAAGAAAGAATGAATGAATGAAATATTCTTTATTGCACATAAAATTACAGTTAAAATACAATAAAGTAACTTAGGTATAAAGATAGTAAGATAATGTGCAACAGGCGGCCTTATTGCTATTTAGCAATTTCTTGCAGGCAACCTTAGGATAGAAATTTGGGATATGCAAAAGGGGTGCAACCAAAGAATATCATTATATACGTAGATAGAAGTATCCATACAAATATTATTAATACATAACAATACATAAATAATAATATTAAATGCTTATATACTTTAAAAGGAAAAAGAAAAATGGAATAAGTATAGAAAATATATGAAAGAATAGTGGAGAAAAAGACAAAACTTAGGAATTGAGTGAGAAGTGATCCTTGACACGTCGTTTGAAGGAATCAAGAGAAGGGGAACCTTGAATCGATTCAGGGAGAGAATTCCACAGTCTTATCGTAGAAACGGTAAACGAGTTGGAATAAAAATTAGAGGTATGGTATGTTTAGTAAGAGAGTATCAGAGGAGCGAAGGGGACGCCAGAGTGTAGAAGAGTGGAAAGTAAAGCGATCTTTGAGATAAGAAGGCGTAAAGGGACAGAATAGAATTGAGTAAAGAAGGGAAAGAATATGAAGATCTCTACGCTGGGGCATGGGTAGCCATTTAAATTGTGCACGAAACTGGGATTCGTGGTCAAATTTACGAAGTCCAAAAATGAACCTCACACACATATTTCATTAATCATGTAGATAAGGAAAAGAAAATCTCCAATCTCATAAAGTCTTCATTTGATACTCCACAAACTAACGTGCATTGTAAAATTATCGACACTGTACCTCTTCTATCTATATATCCTTTTTTTCCATTAATATATCATTTGTAATTAAATTCAAAATTTCAAAAAACTATTGCTAGTGTTGGGACCAAACATTTTGATAATCAAAATTGTTAGCTTTTAAATACGTGTAAACAATTTATGTTTACACATTGGTACCGCTATAATAAAAAAAATTTGAACTTAACCAAAACCGGGTTTCTAAATACAGTTTCTACATATCGATAATTTGATTACAACACGCGGACCCAGTACCAAGTGTAATACGAAGCTAGTGCAAGCAATTCATTGAGTGTCATTCGAATTGTTCATTTGACGGCGGCGATGGCTAGCAACCAATGTATATTGTTATTACCGAGTTGTAAGAAAATAGTTTTGTTTCGAAATTATAGTATTGTATTGTTCAAAATATTAGAAAATACAGACTTTTAGTACTTACCGATGAAATGAAATCACTCCCGGAGTATTTTTGAAACTTTGGCTTCTCACGGGACTTCATATAATAGCACAATTCTCTATTTTTTCACAAATAATAATAATAACGCACACACTCGACATAGTCCCGCACTAGGGAAACCCTGTGTCGCGGGTGCCATGGACACACAAATAGACAACCACGAATTACACCCAAAGTCACGAGACAAATAAATGTAGGCCACACAAATATTTCTCCCGGCCCGGGAATCGAAACTGGGACCTCTGCGTGGCAGACCGGCATGGTATCCGTTCCGCCACGGAAGCAGTATCGACACGCAACTGAGATGATTTACGTTACCTTAATAAAATCCTCCTCAAACTTAAAAGCTCCGCCACCAGTAGCATAGATAGTGTTCACGAGATCCGCCATGCCCTTCGACCGCGCCAGTGAGAGAAACGATCCCACTTCTGAAGTTGGAAATCGGATGAAATGCAGAGTGCCGCGGCGTCCTCGGATCGTCACATTTTCCATCTGTAAAGGAATCAATTGAAGCATTAAGCTTGACTTTGCCCTTTATAATGGACAAATAACTCAAAAGGACGGCTAGTCGTGATACAAGACAGCGCAGTCGGGCATTTAGTTCCATATTGGTACACCAGATGTCGCGACGAGTATCAAATAGTTATTTTTGTAACTAATTTCTTTCACATTGACAAGCTGCAATTTATCAAAGCTCTAATTTCTAGTGATAACAAACAAATTCCACCACATTCCACCTTTAAGGGTGGCATATCCGGTTTAGCGTACTTTCCGGTGACCGATTTCAATGGTTAATAGATGTTACTACACGAACTTGGAACCCGGTTTTTTGCGCAATAAATTATTGTTAATCTTTTTCAGAGCCACATATTCGAAGCGCGCGCGCCGCTCGCCGTACCGCAGCGCAAAGGAAAATTATAACAAGATGGCGGAGCCCACGCCGCCCTGCCCGCCTGACAACAACGCGCCCCGTAAGTCTTATTCATTTATGTTTTTCGGTGCGGTGGATAATAATTGATAACATCACGTTTAGATACCACGATAACAATATAGTGTATAACATAATATTAACGCTAATGCAATAGATTAAAATTCAAAGCATTGTAACGGCAACATTTATAGCGGTGGTGCTAGTGACCGACAGACACACGCGATTTAAAGCTCTTGATTGGCAGTGCAACTGTTATGAACAGGCGTGTCTCTTACGATCAGGCGCACGACTTGTTCGTCCCATCACTTGATATTATAAAAAAATAAGAAGTTTTTTGTAGGGTAAGTTCAATTACTGGGTGTTCATTATTGGTGAGTGTCGATTTTTGATGTTCTTTATTGGAGATTTAAAGAAATTCTAGTTTAGGTTTTTTTAGTAATAATTATAATAGCTTTTTTATGACGCATAATACAGCATAATCTTTCTTGAGGATAATATCTGTCATGTAAACTAATCAGTATTCATATATCGACTTATCCGAAGAACAGAGTCCGATGTGATTATATAGCGAAAAGAGTATAAGTACATCACGAGAATAATTTCGTTATTCGAACTAAATAAATATATAAATAAATGTAAAGGTGCTTTGAGAATTTATATATCTTATTTCATTTCGGAAATATAAAATCGAATAACGGTCGATCTGACATCCACAGACTATTCAGAGACATATTCTCGTATATACCACGGTTGGTACGAGAAGCCATCGAGATCACGAAGTACAAAACATTTAACCGTGATGATGGTTTTAAACTGTCCAGTGCATGGAATCCGGTCCTTAGTGCGTGCAGTAATAAAAACAAAAACACCTCGAGTTCAGTTTCGCGTGTGGATACAGTGAGTGTGGTTTGTGTGAAAAAAGTGAGTGACAATGGTAACGCCACAACAAATCGCGATGAAGGTAGTCGTCGACAGCGCAAGAGGGTAGACAGATATGTCTGCTCATAAAACTGTCATCTGCCGCCGTCCAGTCAGCCCGTGACCATGGCGCGTGCAACCTTTCCGAAATATCGGGAAAATAAAAAGAAGTCATACCGTGGTAAGAAACCCGATACTAGTGATAATCATTTAGAGAATAACCACGAAAGTCTTAAAATCTATATAAAATGTACTATGTCCTAAGAACAAGTAGGCTTACACATAGATCTTTGTTCTACGGATGAGTCGATATGTTTAAGAGTCTATAGAACCTCAAATAGCTTTGGTTGATTCCGTATAAAAGTGAAAGTGTTGAAACAATCACTTTGGAAAAAACATATAGTAAAATTGAGGATATACTTACACTGATTAGTATACGGTGTGAAAACACGATTCCCAAAAATTTTCACGATAGAAAAAAAAAACAAACTTACCTCGAAATTTTACAAGAAAACCGCTGTATTCAACACGTACTTTATAAACAAATTTTTTTTTATCAACTTAACTAAATAGAACACGTATAAGCATACGATATGCATTTTTCAAATGACCCGCTCAATATAACCGACTTAGTATGCGAAAAACTTGAATTCGAGCTGGGGTAGTATCGACTCTTGAAAACAAAAAAGTTATTTCAAATTTAAAGACACTTTCCTTAAAACGTCGATCAATGGTGCCATCACCCTATTCTCACTTTAAAAATCCTTGCATTTTGTGCTCTATTCCGTGGTCTTTCTTTTTTTTACGGTACCAAGTGACTGGACGTAAAAGCGTGCGCCTGGTGGTAAGCGACTCGCCTGTCCATTACAGTTGCAGTGCCACTCAAAGCCTTAAATCACAAAGATCGAGGGGCACTGCCACTGTACCCGCCACCTTGTTGAGTTGATTCCATATCTCTAATCAACCACACACGACTCAATACCATTTCTTCTCGTACATAACTTCGCACAACACACGAGCATAGCTAATTATGTTTCCTTGGCGTATTAACGGCAATATAATGGGTGTAATAACATATAAAATCCAGGCAACTACTACCACGTTACATATTTCTGTCGCCAAGCAATTATGTGAGCATTACTGCGTTTCGGTTTTGAGGGGAAACATTTTATTACACTTTATTAAATTTAACAAACTTCCGATGCAATAAAATGATGATTAAGCTCCCTTACCGTCCTAGTAAAAAAATCACACTGTATAGCTCAATGATGATTATATAATAATTAAATTTTTTTTTAAATATTTTAGCAATGCCTTGGTTTGGCATGGACATAGGGGGTACACTAACAAAACTCGTGTACTTCGAGCCGCGAGAAAACAACCGTAGAGAACTTGACAAAGAGACCGAAGTTCTGAAGAATATCAGGCGGTATCTGACCAGGAACTCGGCGTATGGGAAGACTGGGAGGCGGGATGTCCACTTACAGGTGAGTTCTTTTGATTTCATACTATCCTGGTACTTGACGTGGCAAACAGTAACAGTACAGATACTATGTATATGCTAGATACTTTGAAAAGAGATCGTCAGACACTGTTGGACATAGACCTCTGTTGCTAAACGAATATCACGGAACAATAAATACAATAGAAGTGCTTAGTCGACGTGACACGTGTGCCAACAATATGCGGAGTTTCCCAAATTTGGGCTCATTAAGTCTCAGGCCGCCATTTTTTTAAGGCCTTTGTGGTCGAGTCGCTTGCACACCGGTTTTCATGGTGTCGCCATTGCTGAGGTCCCGGGTTTGAAACCCGGCCAGGTCAGTGTAGAAAAAAACTAACTTTTCTATGTTGTCTCGGGTCTGGGTGTTTGTGGTACCGTCGTTGTTTCCGATTTCCATAACGCAAGTGCTTTAACTACTTACTTTGCGATCAGAGCAACGTGTGTGATTTTGTCTAATATTTATTTATTTATTTTCGCTTGTACGTTATGATTGTGTCTATTGTCTCGCGGAACCTCGAAAATTGTGGGAAACGCCTTATTTAGCTATTTTAAAGTGCAAAAATTACAGATGCACCTATAAATATTAACAGTGATGGTGTTTCATATAATCATTAATTAACACATATTTCATTTAATTTTAATTTTCCGTTTATTGTAATAAAGTTTTTGTTACAAGAAACGAAAGTATACCTAATACCGCTGCAATACGGTCGCTTCTTTTTTAGGAAAAAAATCTTGAATATTCCAAGCTAACGTAGACGTTAATCGTTCGTCGTCATTCAGCTATTTACCTCTAGATGGCAGCACATTGATTAAAAATTCAAAATAAAATCGGGACGTCGTAATTTGCAATAATATGCTTGCAATAGGTATTGAACTTGCAACGATATGCCAACAGGGTAAAGTTTAAATTATATTCACAGTCCAGAATTTAAAAACAACGACCAAACACTATCAGGATTTCTTAGTGTTTATTATGATAATGTGGCAAGGCATTTCCATTGTTTTTCTTCTTATGTGATTTCAACAATAAAAGATTGTAATTAATGCCTCACCTTTTCTCAGGATTTGAAGTGATAATTATCACTATTATCTAATTATCTGTAATTATCTAATCGGAATAATTCCATGTCAGTGACGAATCTCGGTAGATTAATACATGGACCTATGACGCTAGAGGATAGCTAATCTCCATACAATAGACAGTACTAACAATAACACAATAAATTATTTATAATTTGTAAAATCCTACCTGTTAGCTTAAAACACAAATATCTGCTAGCTGTTAACTACTTTGGAGTAGATGAGCGTAGCTCTTTTTTATATCCCGTTATCAATAACTGTAACACAAGGCCAATGACCTCTGGTAAATGTGTACTACCAAGTTAATAATCACTATGGAGATAGAACTCTAAAGAAACGTATTCCATGCTTACTTAACAGTTTGCCTGAGGTTATTAACCTTGAACCTAAGAAAAGTAAATTTAAACATCTTTTGTTTCAGCATTTGTTGTCAAACTTAGAGTAGATTATTGTTAAAATACTAATTATGTATATAAAAGCGAGATTAGTTTGATCCCACAGTCAAACTGAATACTCAGTTTTGTGGGACTATGTATTTATCTAAGGGAAACTGTAATGTTTTTATATATATTAAATAAATAATAATAATACATACTACAGATCGTAACTCTGAAAAAGGTTAAAATCCCGTCTTACATCTAAATGTCGCTGACAATAAACCTGGAAGTAGTATATTATGTAAATGACCGTGAATAGTAATTAATTTCTCTTTAATACGAAATATAAGTAGTCAACAATTTTTCCTTAAATATTAACTAAGAAGCTGAAATTATTTTCTGAACTTTGAGAAATATGTGTGTAAATAGATGGCATTGTATGTTGAAACAAATTTATAAATTAACGCTTGCTAATATAGGTAGATGGCGCTAATCCTAAACAAAATAAAAGAATAATATAATAATAATAATAAATAATAACGCACACACTCAACATAGCCCCGCACTAGGGAAATCCCGTGTCGCGGGTGCTATGGACACACACATAGACAACCACAAATTACACCCAAACTCACGAGAGAAATAAATGTAGGCCATACAAATATTTCTCCCGGCCCGGGAATCGAACCTGGGACCTCTGCGAGGCAGTCCGGCATGGTAACCGTTCGGCCACGGAGGCAGAGAAGAATAGCCAGAAGTATCCATAAAAATCGGTGCAATTAACGCCATCTAGTTTTACTTCCTCAAACTCGTATCATAAAGCACAAAGTCACTGAAATGCCAAAAATTTATTTTATATTCAAATTTTGCAGGCGATTTCACATCACATTGCCTTCATACTCACGTACTGGTTTTTACCTATTCTTAAAGTAATGCGTCCAAATTAACTCCCTTTATAAGAAATTGAAAATAAATAGAAGGGCTCTTACACATAAACACGATACGACGTCCTCGACTAGGGTTATTAAATAATCAACCTCAACGTCGCCTGTCATCTTTGAATATTGAATAATGATTACGACGCCGTGCCGTGCGTCGTGACACGTTCCGATGTTGTGTCGTGAATTTTTACATTGCTCGTCGTAGATTTCCACGTCACGACGTTGCATCGTGAAACGATGCCGCGTCGTAGCACGACGCGACGTCGTATCGTGTTTATGTGTAAGAGCCCGAAAGTTTTGTCATCTCCTAATCCCTCTTTGTAAAATACGAGTTTGAGAAAGTAAATCATCGATCTAGGAATTTGTTTGTTGTCACTAGAAATTAGAGAAGCTTTGATAAATTGTAGCTTGTCAATGTGAAAGAAATTACTTACAAAAATAACTATTTGATACTCGTCGCGACATCTGGTGTACCAATATGGAACTAAATGCCCGATTGCGCTGTCTTGTATCACGACTAGCCGTCCTTTTGAGTTATTTGTCCATTATAAAGGGCAAAGTCAAGCTTAATGCTTCAATTGATTCCTTTACAGATGGAAAATGTGACGATCCGAGGACGCCGCGGCACTCTGCATTTCATCCGATTTCCAACTTCAGAAGTGGGATCGTTTCTCCAACTGGCGCGGTCGAAGGGCATGGCGGATCTCGTGAACACTATCTATGCTACTGGTGGCGGAGCTTTTAAGTTTGAGGAGGATTTTATTAAGGTAACGTAAATCATCTCAGTTGCGTGTCGATACTGCTTCCGTTGCGGAACGGTTACCATGCCGGACTGCCACGCAGAGGTCCCAGGTTCGATTCCCGGGTCGGGATAAATATTTGTATGGCCTACATTTATTTCTCTCGTGAGTTTGGGTGTAATTTGTTGCTGTCTATGAGTGTGTCCATAGTACCCGCGACGCCGGGTTTCCGTAGTGCGGGGCTATGTTGAGTGTGTGCGTTGTTATTATTATTATTACTGATTGATTAGAATTGTCAAAAGTGAAAAAAATAAATGGAGTATAAATTCCTGACTAAACGAGATAAAAATTAAGATGTGAGAAAGTAAGAAAGCTAATCTAATAGATCATCTAACCGATTTGTAGGATTTTACAATACTCTGTGTGAGTAACCGTTTGCCGAATAAAACTGAAAAATGCTGAAGTCACCTGTTATGTTCCTTTCAGTGGATTCAAAACTTTAAAACACTTCCCTGTAAACTTGGCAATTTCGACATACGATACTTTACGTAGGAGGGGTCGAAATGTGATTCCGTTTGTTTTGTAATTAGATGTTTTGCTGCTTTTCCTACACCACCGAATGGAACATTTTCATCATCAGAATCATTTTTGGAGATATTGTCTTTATCACAATAAATACAGAATATTTTTAGAATATACAGAGACGTACACACAGGTCAGTTGTTGGCGCTGTACTATTTCAGCTTTCCAATTTTTGTGATTTCAACGCAAACGAGAGTTGATACTTAAAAGTGATATAAGGCCCGTTTGCCTGATGAGTTGCCAGCGATGGATGGACTTTATTTCGTCTCTGTTTCTGGTTCTATACTGGAAGATCTACTAACTGCCTCCGTGGCCGAACGGTTACCATGCCGGACTGCCACGCAGAGGTTCCAGGTTCGATTCCCGGGCCGGGAGAAATAGTTGTATGGCCTACAATTATTTCTCTCGTGAGTTTGGGTGTAATTTATGGTTGTCTATGTGTGTGTCCATGGCACCCGCGACACAGGGTTTCCCTAGTGCGGGGCTATGTTGAGTGTGTGCGTTATTTATTTTTTATTTATTTATTTTTAGATCACTTCATAAAAAAGAAATGTCATTCTTCTCAACATAAATTACATTTTCATATATGTACTGTGATGTTAGTGTAAGAATGTTAATTACCTCGGAACTTCTCTGTCAAAGACACTCTGCTGCTCAGATTGTCAGTATAATCCTTTGAATTATAAAACTTTCAGGAAGTGAACATGCGACTATCAAAACTAGACGAACTGGATGCGTTAATAGCTGGCGTGCTTTTTTGTGACGCTATGAACGCCCATGAGTGCTATTATTGGGCCCCACCTGAAGAGACACCGGTGCACCAAAACGCCAGCGACTCGGTAGGTGTAATTCATCGCTTGTATAGCCAGCAGACAATTTCTTTGCTTTTCCGCAACATGTTTTCAGGTCAATTTATATTATAATTAATATAATAGTATACAAATATAATTAACATTTACCTAGTTTTAAAAACAAGTAACTAAATTTTTATTTTTAATGCTCATTAAAGACAAATTGAGGAACTTTTGAGGCTCAACATAAAACTATCAAAGTTAATTTATAGAAATCAAACATTATTTGCGTAACTTAGAACAAACTAAAAAATCGATTGATTTAATTTATTTTATGTCTCAGAGAAAAGGCACAAATCATTAAAAAAGATGACCGTTTAGATTTTTTTGCAGCGTTTGCAAATTTAAAAGAATTATTTAAATACATGCCGTTAATTAGATTGTAACAATAATGACATTGACACCTATCTTATATATAGTCAATATATTTTTCATAGCATTGGCCACTAGCCAATTAGCTAAAAAGTTACATAAAAATCCGTTCCGTTTTTCCGTTTTACGTTATATAAAATATGGTAGTAGTAGAGCTCCTTGTGAAAGAGTTCGTCCAGAGAAGTACTGCCACTTTATCTATTTTTGCCGCCAAGCAGTAATGTCAGCATTACTGTGTCTCCGGTTTTGAAGGGTAAGGGTGCTGGTGAAATTACAGACACATGGGACTTGTCAACTTATGTCTCAGGGTGACGGGCGCAGTGCCCCCTCAGATCTTTGCGATTTAAAGCTCTGTGTGGCACTGCCACTGCCAGGCGTGTAGCTTACCATCAGGCGCACGATTTGTTCGTCCTGTCACTTGATATTATATAAAAAAAAAAAAATTAAATGTCCTTATCGCTTTTCTGGAAATTGCAATTCAAAGAATTGTTTTTAATTCAGAATTTCTAGATTTTGAGAGCTCTTTACAAAAACCAACAGATTAAACAGCCTGGTTAAATTTTCCATTTATTTTAATACCACTAACGGAACAACTATAAAAAAAAAACTATCTACCCTAAACACTTTTGATGTGTATACATAAGTGTAAATACGGTCAGCTCATTTTGTTGACAACTTATCACAAACTCGAATTTCTTTTTTCCGAATTTCTTTACTCCGAAAACGGTTCGACTTTTTTTCATTAGTGCGATGACAGTTTTGGTATAAATTTGCAACACAGAAATGTTTTACAGCAGAAGTATCGTTTGTCCGAAAACCTATTATTAGAATCGTTATACACATACGTATTCTTCGTATTCAGCGGCCGGCGAATGTCAGAGCAAAATTTGTTTGCATTACCTAGATGATACGTCCTCTTTTTGTAGGTGTAGGTTAGGTTAGTATATGAAAAGGCGCCCCGAGCCGAGCGAGCGAAACGAGTGTGCCGCGGCAGCGGCCGGCGAGTGCCAGAGCCGAATTTGTTTGCATTACCTAGACGGTACGACCCTCTCCTGTGGATTTAGGTTAGGTTAGTGTATGAAATAGATCCGAACGAGCAAAGCGAGCGACTACAACTCGATCAAATTAACTTACACCTCGTTTACCATATTTTCTAAACACTGGAGGTGCTGTAATTTGACGAGTTGTATTGATTGAAATAATATAACAAAAGTGTATTATACAAAATTAAAATTTCCGTTAAATGCATTGGTCATACGGTTGGAGAAATAAAAATCTGGAAACGAATAACTTGTCTATATGTCAAAATAGTAAAACATTAAATGGTGTAATGAAAAAACCGTTACGTGTTTTCGGACAAATGAAATAAAACCTATTGAATAAAAAAAAGTCTAAAGATTTTCGGAGAAACAAAATTCTGTAAATTATGTTTCTAGCTTGTGATAGGTAACCTATATTGTTAGATCCCTGACAATAGCGTTTTCTCTTCCAGCCGCCTTATTCTCAAACAGCGTTGAGCGCGTATGTGCGAAAGCCATACGACTTCTCCAGCCCGTATCCGTTTCTGTTGGTCAACATCGGCAGTGGAGTTTCCGTCTTGGTTGTGAACGGACCTAACGATTTTCACCGCGTTAGTGGCACCAGGTAACGAATTGACATTTAAAAAAATACTGAATTAGTACAGCGCCGACAACTGACCTGTGTGTACGTCTCCAAAAATATTCTGATTTATTGTAATAAAGATAATATCTCTAACCATGGGGCGCTGTTCTATTCGGTGGTATGGCAAAAACAGCAAAACATCTAGTTACAAAACAAACGGAACTACATTTCATCGGTAATTAAATATTAAATATGTAATTTTTCAACTTTCATCCATTATAGCAACTCAAGTTAAACTGGTCGATTTGAAGTAAAACAATTGACGACACCCGACAATTGTTGCGAATTCGGGCTGGCCAATCGGAACGCAGTTGTCACCGTAATGGTTTGGCAGAATAGTTTTTAACACAAATTAAATGACATTCGTCTCTATTTCTGGTTATATACTCGATGTTGCCGTGTTTTCTTTTTGATTTGTTTAAAGTATATTTATTGGACTATAGGTTTAGATAACTGTTAGTCCCTCAACAAAATTAAAAAAACTTAATGATTTTCTCTCCAGTCTTGGCGGCGGCACATTCCTGGGACTCTGCAGCCTCCTAACCGGCTGCAGCAGCTTCGAAGAAGCTATATCACTCGCACAAGCAGGGGACAATACGTCGGTAGACAAATTAGTCCGGGACATTTATGGAGGAGACTATGCCAGGTTCGGATTGCCGGGGGACTTGGTTGCTAGCAGGTATGCTTGTCTTTTGTTAGTCCCTTAAGGTCACAGACATATATGTACATAGACACTACAAGTACCGCGATCTGTATGAAAACCAAGCGTGGCACATTTTATGTACCTCTCATGATCTTTTTTATTAAGTTCTGGCTTAGATACAAGTCTTTTGAGACATGTCTTCGTTTAGTTATCGGGATCCTCAATAAATACATATTTTCCATTGTAGTTCTAGTATACATAAAACTTTCACTTTCTCTTAAATAACTTAGTTTCCTTGTTTGGGTATATAAGAGTCTCTAATTAAGAGGCAATAATTTTGTTTTCTCTTTCACTTAAATTACATTATTGTCACTCTGAACAAAAACTTTGAAGTCGTAATTAGTGGAATTTTTAGGATAAAATCTGCGTGGCAAGAAAGAATGAAAAGATATTTATTTGATCTCGTTACAAAAAAGAAAATGAACTACATTAAATCTTAAATTAAATATACAGAGAACCAAAAAGGTCACCACTCAGCATGCTGCTGGCAGCAGGCTGCTAGGAAAACAGACCGGCGCTGATATTCTGTGGCCACCATAAAACAGAATAAACGCCACTGCAATAAACATTTTGAAAACATGAACATATAAATCGACTCATCCGAAGAACAGGGTCCGATGTGATTATACAGCGAAGAGACGATAAATACATAACGTTGTTATTCAAACTAAGGCCTATCTATAGGTGTATTCAGTATTTTTATTTCGTATTTCGTTTCGGAAATATAAAATCGAATAACGGTCGACCTGATATTCACAGCGAAGAACAACGATAGAAATGTACAGTGTCCCGAGAATAAGCAGTCTTGCACATAGGTCTTTGTTCTGCGGATGAGTCGAAATACATCAAAATAATATAATACAAAACAAAACATCACAATAAGCAATAACAACATTTTACCACGCACAAAATATACACTGCAATATATATATATATATATATTATAACATTTGCGGCACTTAAGAACAAAAAAAAATTTTTAAAGTTGATCGATTGTTGCCTCGTCTATTTTTTATCTATCATTTTATCATGGACCAAAGTGACGAATGGTCAAATATCCGATTTGAAAAACAATAAATAGACCAGAAAGTTATCTCTTAAACACAGTTAAAATTAGTAAAGTAAGTGTTCCACTTATCGGAACCCTCAGCGCGCATTTATTCCACACGAATTTTTTCGCACTCACGTCAAGAGCGGAGTCTGCGCTGCCCCCGCGTAGCGACCATCATGGCGTCATGGCAAAATACGGGCTATTTACCGCGCGTTAATTTTATTGAGAGGAATTTAAATGTTGTTGCATAAATAGAATTCAGATTCGCTATTAATGTACATGAAGGCTTGGTAACTGGGCGGTCGCCGCGTGGCAGCCGCGCGAAAACTTTCTTCTCGTGTAACTGGGCGCTAACGAAGCATAGCGGAAATATCGTTAAACAATATCAATATTCTAAAACTGGGTTATGGTTTTTTATGATATCTCAAAAAAATATTTTGTAACTTAACCGCGTTTTAGTTAGCTGACGGCAGTACTGCTAATCGCGGTATAAGACAGCGTAAATAATAATACAGAAATAATAAAATAGAAATAAAAACAATTTTGAGTATTAATAATCCAATTATTCATTAATGTACTAAAATTTAAAGTAAATTATCGATTTTATATACATACATATATATTTTAGTTAGTACTTTTTTTTTAGTCGCTGGACGCAGTTAAATGATTACGGGCAGTCGGGGCGGTGCCACAATTTGAGGGTTATGGCAGGTGTACTTAATTTTCCGTTCCATCTTTTTGAAACGGTCCTCCTCCATTTTCATTCCCAGATTCCCTATTTAACATTATAAATCTTGACATTTTTAATGATTCTTTCTATAAATTTAAATGTAAAATGCGTGTTTATATACCTTAATAATTTATTTTCATTATTCTTTCACAAAATATTTAATTAATACAATTGAATTGCACTGTCATATTTATATATTATATATTGTATTTATATATTTATAATGGATTATATTTACCTTAAATCTTAGTACTTTAATGAATAATTGGATTATTAATATTCAAAATTGTTTTTGTTTTTATTATTTTTATATCTGGATATATATTGAGTGATGGAGACACCTTTAATTGGCTTACTAGTCTTTAAATCTTACTTTTTCTGTGTAATCTGTTGGTGTTCCAAATGAATAAATAAATTTTGTTTCTCTACAGTTTTGGCCAAATGTGTTCAGCGGAAAGGCGCGCGAAGGTTTCTCGCGAGGACCTAGCGCGGGCAACCCTCGTCACTATTACCAACAACATAGGTGCTATTGCACGTCTGTGCGCTTCTACGGAGAACATTGACAAGGTAAATATTTAGTTTTTCGGTTGCAATTAGAACAATAACTGAACATTTGGTAAAAATCAAACTTTTCTCAATAACCGTAAGGTTCGATTATCGTTCTAACTGATGTGACGGGACGAACAAGTCGTGTGCCTGAAGGTAAGCGACACGCTGTCTCTAACAGCTGCAGTGCAAAGATCTGAGGAGCACTGCCACTGCGCGCGTCCCCTGAGATATACACACATCAAAAAAAGTTTGCGATCAATAGCATAAGCTCCTATAATTCTTTAAATTTAACTTTATCAAGAAAAAATCTATGTTGTATGCTTTCTTTAAATAGGAATACCTTGTTTGAAATTAAAATATAAAACTATTTTTTATTATTTATTTAAAAAAATTGAGCCATTAATCATAATGTAATAGTGATAGAAATTTCATAGAAAGAAAAAGACTGTTTAATTAAACTTAAACAACAATTTATTATTAAAAGGTGTGAATTCAATATAAAATAACTCCTCCCCTGGCTCGAATACATGCGAAGATCCTCCTGGGCATGCTGAGGATCAAGTTATCCAGCATTTCCTGGGGTAACCTATCCCATTCTTCAATAGCGGCTTCCCTGAGCTCTGGAACTGTCTGGGGACGTGGCTCACGGTTCCATACTGCTCGTTTAAGAGCATCCCACGCGTGCTCTATTGGGTTTAAGTCGGGCGAGCCGGCAGGCCAGTCTAATCGTGTGATATCGTATTCTTGAAGAGCTGCATTGACTCGTTGAGCTCGATGTGCGGGCGCATTATCATCGACCAGTACAAATTGGTGCCCATGGTTTACTCGGAATGGTCTGACGATATCATCAATAGCAACTGCTTTGTACATGTCTGCTGTCATGAAGCCCCGATACTGGATCAAAGGCGTTCTAGCTCCAATCATAATGCCACCCCAAAAGGACACCGATTTTCCGCCTTGCTGAACTGTTCCAGTGGCAGTTCTTTGTCTTTCACGGTCGCCTGGTCTTCTCCAGACACGGACACGTCGGTTATCTGGATGAGTGCTGATTCGGGATTCGTCAACGAAGAGACAGTTTTGCCAAATGTTTTCGTCCTCACCTTCTTCATTTTGCCGAAGTCTAGCCCACTGCAATCTTCGTTGTTGACGTTGCCGGGAATTGAGCGGAGCTCGCCAAGACCTCCGTGCTCGTAATCCAGCCTGGTGCAAGCTATTGCAAACGGTCTGCGTGCTAACTTCAAGCCCAGAGGCGGCCCTGACTTCTGCTTTTATTTTAGTGGCGTTGATTGTTGGATCACGGGCTGCCAGCAATCTAATATAGCGCTTTTGGGCAGCTGTCAAAACAGTTGGGCGACCGCTGCGGGGTCGGTCAGCTAAATTCCCCATTCCGTGATACCTCTGCAACGTAGCCACGACACAGGATTGGGATATAGCAAGTCTGCGTGCTATTATTCTCGTGGTGTATCCTTCTTCCCTCAAAGTTACTATTCTAGCTCGTAAAACCTCTGATAATCCTCTTGGCATTTTTTCAATCACAACTTTCCGCGAAAAATATCTTGAATCGCTTATAATTGACTAAATCAGATTTCTGAATGAGCGTAAGCTAGGACTGAAAGCCTTTTTATATGAAAAAACAATTGAACGGGGTCATTGTTTTATGTTCTAATTTATTTTTAAATAAAGAATCTAAAAAGAAGAAAAAATCATAACATAACTACAGTAACAAAAAAGATTTCAGTTTTTCGAAGTGATCGCAAACTTTTTTTGATGTGTGTAAGTTGACAAGTCCCATGTGCCTGTAATTTCACCAACCTTACCTTTCCAACCTATAAATGCTGACATTATTGCTTGGCGGCAGAAATAGGAGAAGGCGGCAGTACTTCCATGGACGAAGTTTTTCACAAGAAGCTTTACTTGGAATACTTTAAAACAGACAGACATTTAAAGTTAAAAGAACTTTATCCTGGTATCTATAATATTATTACGTGTACGAGTGTCGTCTACGCGGCGCCATCGGTCTATGCGATTCTCGAGAAGTGTATTTAATTACAACGCCTTCTAGTGGTTTTATATTGTACTAGTTGAAAATGCCAAGCAGCTTGTATAAGGTCGATACCACAGAACAATTTTAACAATAGAAGTGCTTAGTTTGTGTAGTACGTGTGCCAACAGTACGCGAAGTTCCACATGCTTAAGCTAAGTCCGCCATTTTCCCTTTGTACGTTATGGTCGTGTCAATAATCTCGCGCAAAGCCTCGAATACGGTAGAAAAACGCTTTATTTTGCTACTTTGGAGTGCAAAAATGCTCGTCGCACTTGTAATGTTATCTGTGGTGGTGTTTCATATCATCGTCATCTTATTTCATTTTTCTGTTTATTGTAATATTTTCTTTTGTTACAAGAAATGAAAGTAAACCTTATACCACTGCAATATGGTCGTCGTCTAAAAATATTTTTTACATCGAAATTAATAAGTGTGGAAATATACCAAATTACGTATTCACCGTTTCCGTCCGCGATTTTAAAGCTTTGGGTAAAAACCCGAGCGGGTTGATTGGGTTTTAACCTACAGCCCATCTCTGTACATATTTAATCCTCCTACATATTAAATTGGGATGTAAGGGGGCACACACCATCACAGCTCTTATTGTCAACCTCACCTGCACGCGGTACATCCTGCAGTAACCGACGAGGCTCTGGCGACCGGTAGTAGGCGGTATAGCCCTTCCCCACATTGGCGTTGTCAAATCTGCTGGCTACCGATGGGCAGCAGCGTCGGTAGTACAAAGGCAGCGCCCTGCGATCTCCAACCCGCATGCCCAGCGTGGAGATTATGGGCAATAACCCCCTCCATGGACGGCACAACCAATCGAAGGCCCCCAGTTCCCGGTCGCCCCGCTATTCCTGGTCACGGTAGCGGCCATGGTACCGGCGGGGTAGGGGGTGCTAAGAATCCCCGGGCTACCGCAGGCTACCAAAAACAACTGACCCTGGCTACGTTTAACGGACGAACTCTTAGGCTTGACGAACACCTTGCACAGTTGGAAGTGGAACTGGAGAACATTAGATGGCATGTTCTGGGGCTGTGTGAAGTCCGAAGAGAGGGAGAGGACACCATAACCCTAGACTCGGGCCATCTACTGTACTTCCGCGAGGGTGATCAAACATCCCAAGGTGGTATAGGATTCCTCGTCAACAGAGTCCTCTCTAACAACGTTGAAGAGATCTCCAGTGTGTCGAACAGGGTAGCGTACCTGATCCTTCGGCTATCAAAAAGGTATAGCCTGAAGATCATTCAGGCCTACGCACCGACCTCGACACATTCGGATGACGATGTAGAAGATATGTACGAGGACATATCGAAAGCCTTACACAACACCACCAAGGCTCACTTCAACGTTGTTATGGGGGACTTTAACGCTAAAGTGGGATTCCCAAATCTTGACGAGTCTCGAGTCGGCCCGCATGGTTATGGAGTAAGGAATCACAGGGGGCAAACGCTAGTCAACTTCCTCGAGCACGAGGGGCTCTTCTTGATGAATTCGTTCTTCAAGAAGAAGCCTCAAAGGAAGTGGACTTGGCGAAGCCCCGACGCTGTGACTAAAAATGAGATCGATTTCATCCTGACGGACAAGAGACACATATTCAGAGATGTCTCAGTGATCAACAGGTTTAGCACCGGATCTGATCACCGACTTGTACGAGGCTCTCTGAATATCGATGTCAAACTTGAAAGAAGCCGCTTGATGAAGTCCACGCTCCGTCCTAATCCGCTCCAGATCATGGCGGGCTCCGAGAAGTTCCATGAACTTCTCGAAGCGAGATTCGTCGAGCTGAAACCCACCGAGGACGTTGACGAGGCCCTACAAAGCGTGGTTGGGACGCTGAGAAGCGAGGGCATCAAATTCTGTCAATTGCAGCGTACGGGAAAGAAGTCTAAACTCTCGGATGAGACTCTGCGACTTATGACGAAAAGACGCGATGACATCCAGGCCACTTCGTCAGAGAGGTCATACCTAAACAAGCAGATTGCGAAGATGGTACGGCGTGACCTTCGGAGTTCCAATACACGCCTCATTGAGGAGGCGATAGAGCGAAACCGAGGGTCCAAAGTATTCACTCAGCAGCTTGGAAGGAGCCACCTGACGAAGCTTACAACGCACGATGGCCTAACCGTTACGTCAAAGCCGCAGATACTCGCCGAGATAGAGGACTTCTATGGCCGTTTGTACGCTGTAAATGCTCCTCGGGTCCAGCGTGACAATCACGATTTGAGAGCCACCTTGACGCGCCACTATACCGACGACCTGCCAGAAATCAGTCAAGACGAGATCGTGTTGGCTCTAAAACAGCTTAAAAATGGAAAAGCCTCCGGTGAAGACGGAGTTACTTCGGAGCTTTTGAAGTCTGGAGGAGTTCCTATTATCCAGGAACTTCAGAAGCTCTTTAACTTGGTCATTCACTGCGGGAGAACTCCACGGGCGTGGAACAGGAGTATTGTAGTTCTCTTCTTTAAAAAGGGAGATAAAACTCTACTGAAAAACTACCGACCCATCTCACTCCTGAGTCACGTCTACAAGCTGTTTTCTAGAGTCATCACGAATCGCCTCGCAAGAAGACTCGACGAGTTTCAGCCACCGGAACAGGCCGGGTTTCGGGGAGGATATGGCACCATAGACCACATACACACAGTGAGGCAGATTATACAGAAGTCCGAAGAGTATAATCGGCCCCTGTGTTTAGCTTTCGTGGACTATGAGAAGGCCTTTGACTCTGTCGAAACCTGGGCTGTCCTGGAATCCTTACAGCGGTGCCAAGTGGACTATCGTTATATACAAGTGTTGAGATGTCTTTACGATGCTGCTACCATGAGTGTCCAAGTACAGGACCAGCAGTCTGAACCTATCCAATTACGCAGAGGGGTGAGACAGGGGGATGTCATATCCCCGAAACTGTTCACCGCTGCATTGGAGGATATGTTTAAGACGCTGGACTGGAAAAGGATGGGCATTAACATAAACGGCGAGTACATCTCACACTTGCGATTTGCAGATGACATAGTCCTAATGGCAGAATCGCTGGAGGAACTGGATCAGATGCTGAACAGCCTAGCATCCGCCTCGCGGCGGATTGGTCTCGGCATGAACTTTGATAAAACCAAAGTCATGATCAATGACCACATTGATCCGAGACCCATCTGCGTCGATGGCCACCTTCTTGAAGTTGTTTCCGAATACACTTACCTCGGGCAGATTCTGCAGTTAGGTAGAAATAACTTCGAGAAGGAGGCCAGGAGGAGGATTCAGCTTGGCTGGGCAGCGTTTGGGAAGCTACGTCGAGTCTTTTCGTCGCCCATCCCGCAGAGCTTGAAAACAAAGGTTTTCAACCAGTGCGTCCTACCAGTTCTAACGTACGGAGCTGAGTCGTGGACACTCACGATACGGCTAGTCCACCAGTTAAAAGTCGCTCAGCGAGCTATGGAACGAGCTATGCTCGGAGTTTCTCTGAAAGATAAACTCCGTAATGAGGTTATCAGACAGAGAACCAAAGTGATCGACATAGCTCTTCGGATAAGCAAGCTGAAGTGGCAGTGGGCTGGACATATCTGCCGAAGAACCGACAACCGCTGGGGTAAACGAGTTCTTGAGTGGAGACCACGACTTGGCAAACGTAGTGTGGGACGCCCTCCAGCCAGATGGAGTGACGATCTGCGGAAGATTGCTGGCAGGAAATGGATGCGTCAAGCCGAGAACAGGGCGAAATGGCGTGCATTAGGGGAGGCCTATGTCCAGCAGTGGACTGCAATAGGCTGATGATGATGATGACATATTAAATACATATATAGTACAAATTTCCATGCCGGGCTGCCATGCAGAGGTCCCGTTCGATTCCCGGGCCGGGAGAAATATGTGTATGGCCGACATTTATTTCTCTCGTGAGTTTGGGTGTAATTTGTGGTTGTCTATGTGTGTTCATGGCACCGGTGACACAGGGTTTCTCTAGTGCGGGGCTATGAGTCTGTTGCGTTATATATATAAACCAAAAAGTGTGCAACGGGCCACCGTCCTTAGACTATTTTCCATCTTCTAAGCCACCGTCACATAAAGTGACTTTTGACAACTTGAGGTGCGTGTACAAAACCACCAATTTAATGTGTGTTTACAAACATAGTCTAAAATATTGTGTGTGCTGGAAAGCGAGAGGAAGGAATGGTTCCGATCAGGGTGGTCTGAACGCCCAGGTGGTTCTTTAGAAATACTATCCATGGTGGTCATTACATTTTAGAATAGATCGAAAACAAAACGCAGCACGGAAAGTATGTATACTTCGTTTATTGTAGAGAGGTACAATAATCAACACAACCAGGTATAGGGTAAGCGCCAGTATTGTGAAGTTGTCTTGTGCCCGGCGACTCGTTCTCGAATGTCCCTCCTAGCAATCAGCAGCCCTATTTATAAGGCGACACGTGCCGTCAGCCGACTATCTTGTAAACAACGTTGTAAAAGAACACCTGCGTCGTTAGTGCTAACGACTGGAGACGCGATGGCTTCGCAAACACTAATGACTGCACGGGTGCATACTCATGTCACGCCAGAGGAAAGAGTGCCCCGCTGCGCGCTACTTTTATTTAACTGCCTCCGTGGCCGAACGGTTACCATGCCGGACTGCCACGCAGAGGTCCCAGGTTCGATTCCCGGGCCGGGAGAAATGTTTGTATGGCCTACATTTATTTCTCTCGTGAGTTTGGGTGTAATTTGTGGTTGTCTATGTGTGTGTCCATGGCACCCGCGACACAGGGTTTCCCTAGTGCGGGGCTATGTTGAGTGTGTGCGTTATTTATTATTATTTATCCCGTTTGCATAACAAGCCGTTTACTCCTGCAAATGTTGGTTAGTTTTAGGCACCATAAGAGGAACCGTACAATGGCGCCGCCGTCATGTGTATGAAATTGAATTATTTTTTGTTACAGATCGTGTTCTGTGGAAACTTTCTCCGTGTGAACCCGCTCTCGATGAAGCTCCTGTCATACGCACTGTCGTATTGGTCGAGAGGGGCGCTCAAAGCGCTCTTCCTTGAACATGAAGGGTAAGTACTGAACAGAACTAAAGACGCTTAAGTACATTCCTACCTCTCATGGAAGAATAGCATATATGAAATTACGTCAAACATGTTTATTGCTCCATTAGATACAGAAAAATTTAACCCACATCCTCTCCAATTGGAGATTAGATAGACGTGGGTTATATTTTTCTGTATCTAATGGAGCAATAAACATGTTAGACGTAATCCCAGTTGTGCCATTCTTCCGTGACAGATGCGATTTGTTAATACGTCTTAATAAAAATGTAAGTAAATTCACTACTCCAAGAGCCCAGTATAGGTCATCATCCATCATCAACTCGCGAGAGAAATAAATGTATGTTCTCCCTGCTCGGGAATCGAACTTGGAACCTCTGCGTGGCAGTCCAGGGTGATAACCGTTCGACCACTAAGACAATTTAAAAAAATCTAATAACACCAATAGTGCCTACTTGCAACAAATTGTATTCCTCACAAAACGACATTCAAAATCATCAACCCATTTGTACGTCCCACTGCTGACCACGGGTCTCCTCTCGGGCGAGGGTTAGGCCATAGTCCGCCACGCTCAATGCTCGTTGGGGACTTCACACTTTTCCGAGAGTTATGAACCTTCTACGACGTGCAGGTTACATCACAATTTTCATCTAAAAGCTCATGCTAAATTTTAAATTAAATTACGCAATTTCGAGAAACTCGGAAGTGCGAGGCCGGATTCGATCCCACAACCTCTGCTTGAGAGGCGATAAGGTCAACCATTAAACCATCCCATTTTATAAAGCGGTTTCAACTGGAAACCAACATTTTCAAAGTCAAAGATTATTTATTCCATAGGTAAAATAAATTTACACTTGAAAACGTCACATTTAAGCTACTGCTCGTTCACTACACTGACCTGAGAAGAACGAGCAAGAAACTCTAGGGATTGCTCTTTTCAAATAAACTTTAATGCTATGGAATACACTTTGAATCAAATTTGTGTGGATTCTGGAGCCGTGTCGTCTTTCCATACATCTTTATCTAACACGTAGTCTTCAATTTTGTAATATGGTTTTTCAATCAAAATATTTTTAATGTAGTTTTTAAACTTAGGAAATGATAAACTTAATATATGCTCCGGAATCTTATTGTAAAAACGTATACAGTTCCCCATAAAAGAGTTGTTTACCTTGGTTAAACGAAATCGCGGTACCATGAGTTTGGACTTAGTTCTAAAGCATTAAAGCAGGCTTGCTGTGACATGCTGAGTTGGATCCGTTCAACCATGATTCGTTGTAATCATTAATTTGTTTTGTTCTGTACAAGTCTTCATAAGCTGAATAAACGTTTCTTCCTTTTTCTTTTAACTACCACGGCTTTTTTTTTATGCTCTTCAATATATATATAATTTATTTATTTGTTTGTAATCAGATTACAAAGACCCATAAATACATACCTTATATACTAACATACATAATAATTCAATAAAACACTAATCACGAATTATTATTTATACGTATTGTCTGCGACGTGTGACGCAACGTGGGTGTCCGATAGCCGGCCTCGGCAACGTCGCTACTTGACACCCTTCGGCCAAAGCTCATCCTTAATGAAGGTCGATAGATGTTGAGTTGGCGCTCTCACCACAAAAGATATAAAGTTTACATTTTAATGCAACTTAATTGTTTGGTTTTTTTTAACAATTACGTGTTTTATTTTTCCAACAGTTATTTCGGCGCGGTCGGCTGCCTAATACAGGTCGACGACAAAAACAAAAGAAGTAGCATGGAAAAGCAACATGAAAAACAGTGTACTAAGAACACAGCAGCTAACGCTAACGCCGAGAACTCGACCGATAGATGAGTCGACACGCTCTTAGCCAGATTCCAAATTAGGCCAATAACGATCAATCATGGGCTTAGTTGACTAAGGATGACAAATGGTTCATTAGAATATATTTATTAAGAAATTGTGATGTTAGAAGAACCGGCACGCTCTTAGCCAGTTCCAATTTAGGCCAACAAACACTAATTAGTGGCCTAAATAAATAAATTGGTGTCCAATAAATAAACACAAGAACATTGTAATTGCAAAGCCGGCAATTTTTTCGATGTAGTTTTACGAACTGCATCACGACTTCGAACTAGTTATGCAGTCCGCATGCTGTTGCGATCATGTATGCCATTTACTGCACGCCGACTGCTCGCTGCTTGCAAGTCAGCTTAACAGTCGATAGTTGTGCATTCACTATATAATAGCACGGCAACTGCAAGCGGACTTCACAAGCAAGTAATATTCGTATCAACTGCATTCCTACTGTCATTTTGCAATTGAAATGCAGCTCGTATAACTACGCCCATAGCCAGAATCAAGTTAGGCCATTAGTGGTTAACTTTGGAAAAATATTTCCACAGTAAAAATTTCCATAGTAAAAATTTCTATACTAAAATTACCGTAGTAAAAATTTCCATAGTAATAATTTACCCCGTCGACGGATTTTACTGACCAAATCTAGACTAGTAACAAGCTAACACAGACTTAGTCGGTTCACAATTTTGGCTCTTATTGGCTGATTTTGGGCGTTTGACTAGAATTATCTAAAAATCTATTGGTTAATTCGAATTGCCGACTCACGCTTAGCCATACCTTTAATGTCAACTATTGTAACAAACAGTAAAATAGCTTGCTATGCATTTTAGATAAAATAATTTTTTTTAAATATTTTAACGGCTCGACAAGTTACATTTGAGCCTTCGCCTTATTGTGAAATTTAAAAAAAGCAGTTCCTTATTATACATACGAATTAACATTGACCTCAAAGTGAATACTGGTGCCACCATTTCAAGGTTCAATGTAAACTTGTCAGACTTTAATATTCAAATCGTATTATAAAGGACCATGTCGTTCTGACAGTTTTGACAGAATGACACCTGATGCTTTGCTGTTATTTTGATGCATAATAATTTGTAATGTACGATTGTCGTGAATTTTTTTTCAGAAACTGGTCTTTTTTATGTATTATTTCTTTAATAAAATTGCTTTATATTTATAAAACATTTTCACACTATCGGTACCGTGGTGTTCAATGTTGTTCACTCTGTGGGCTCTTGCCCACCTCTATTAACAACGCCTCACACGTGTTTTCTTTTGCTACCGAAACATAGTTATCATCGTTAGAGCCGTCTATTTAAATATCTTTATTTTTGCACGAAAGTAAATATGATGAAGTCATGGACCAAAATTCGTTTATGATTTTAGTAATATAGTTCTAGGAGGTTATTAGTATTCTAAAAATAACCCTGTAAAAAAATCACGTCAATCGTGCAAAGAATGTCCAAATTGTTACAATTACTTTTTATAGTTAATCATTCCTTAAAATATGTTTAATTAAAAATATTTAATAAAAAAAACTTATTTTTAATATTATATTTTTAATTACACAATAAAATAATGGATATTATTATATAATTATACATTTATTACTACAGTTATTGTATTTGTACAGTCGAGAGCAAATCAAGGTTCACACTTCGGACTTAGGGCCGTTTTTATCACAAGCGATATGGTGTTGAATTAAAATATTAAGTATTATAGATTTTTTACTGAACTTCACGATGTCCTCTCACAGCGATATTTATGTATTTTTTGCGTTGAAAGCCGAAAAAACTGTATAAAAATGTATAAGGGAGACGCCAGATGAAAGCAATTGTGAGTTGCGTAATTTACGCTGCATTCGGTTTGATATAGAAGTCCAGTTTACGCCACACGACGACGCAAAATGAGTTGTCAGCCGACTCACGCGCGTTCTAACGACTGATTTTCGGGCGCACCGTGTGACGTGCTGGTGTGAGTGGAGGAAGGGGGTGAGGGATGTGGTCACTTTACGACACGTTTCTTCCTTCATTTTACACTTAAATCATTTAGACAAAACAACACTTTAAACACCTTGTATAAACGCTTAAAAGCAACTGAATGAAATTCGTTTGTCTGGTGCCTCAGCCGAACGCAAGCCTCACAATTCACAAAATTACCTCTGGCCTCACCCGTACAGTCACATTGAAGAAACTCGTCTACCTGTAGCTCTGTTAGCAGAGCGATGTTACGGTACAACGTGGTCGCAGGTTTAAGGTCTGTAGGATTGAAGAGAATTTTCTTTGTGTTTTATCTTTGTATTAATAATTAAATCTTCAAGTGTCGAAGTTGACTTGCTCTAAACCCTGTTTATAATGTTTAATGATTTGTTAATGTTTTTTAAGCGAAATTTGAAATGTTGGTTACAATTGTGAAAAAAGTATCCTACCTTTATGTGCGTCTTCAACTATAGGAAGATTATTTACTCACTGCAGACTCGGTCATAAATCATCGGAACGGGACAGCGATATTACGCTCTCTCTCCCACTCAACAGTAAACGCAGGGCCGTGCATTACTGCAGTCAATAAATGATATCGATATAGGTGATAAATTTTGTTGTAAAGTTAGAATGGAAATAAAAAGTGATTTATATAGCACATTATAGTCAATCTTACTATATTGTGAAGGTTGGCAAACAGCGTAGCATATCTAAGGATGTGCCAGACACCTACACCCATTACATGGTCTCAGAGCATCTGTATACAAGCTCATGATGGGAAATGTCGTTGGTAGAAAAGCTGGTCATAGAAAAAGTCATAGTTACGGTGCAATAGTGAGTGACTTTTGGATGATGAGGTCCAGAGTTCGATTTCCGATAGGACCAATATGGGAAATGTAGTGTTCAAAATTTTGCTAGTCTGGTTGTTCTGGCTACTGCGTCGCAGTTAATTACGTTGTTCGATACTTACTGTACACGGAATTCTCTAATTTGAGACCAGGTGGTGTGGTTGTATGATACATTACATTATTATTTTGCCATATATTTTTTATGGCAATTGTGTAGACTTTTATGGCAATCGTGCAGACTATGAAGCAAACAGTTAAAAGTTAGTTGGAAGAAATTCCTTTATGGGATAAGCTCGCCTTTGGAACATACACAACGTAACGTGTTATTCTGACATTTGTGAACTGATTCGATGATTATTTTTTTGTTGGAAAGGTGGTACCTCAGTAGTGGGCCCATTTAAATTTAAAGAAAATATTCCACCTTGAGGGTAGCAAATTAGGGTATGATTCCGGTTTATTGAATTACACACACTTTCCGTTACCCGTTTTCAATATAAAACTAACAAACTTTTGAAGTTCGCTTTTATTTTTTATTAAAAAAACTATAGTTACTACAATCTCTACTGCTGTCTTGTAGGTTTTATTTATTTATTTATTTATTTAGGTCAACAAAAAGTAGACAATTAAAACTTAATAAGTATTTTTTTACAGTAAATATGTAATGATTGTATCACCAACACAGTTAACCACTAATTACTACAAAAAACTGAGAATTGGTGATGCATTTCTAATAAACTACTGAGAAGAACAAATAATTAAAAAATAGTTCTGTACGATACAAACCAATGAAACTGATACAATAATAATTATTATTATTACATAAGTATACATGGGTTATATACATAACAAGTTATATTGTATGATACAAGGTTCCAAGGCTTCAAGAATTTCAACAAGGTTTCAACAATTCGCACGCTTTAATCGTTTAAATAATTAACCAGTCTGCAGTCAACCGTATATACTTCTTTATTTTACTTCAATATTACGAATTTCGCTCAAAAAAATATTTTATTAATTAAAGACGGTTTATAATGTTTTTATTTAATGACAATGCACAAATTTTTAAGTTTTAGGAAATTTTTGTATGTATTTTTTATTTTTATTTCATATGCGAGCTTTTTTCGAGATGGTATTTTTTTGGCGTCAAACGCGAGTAGTTGGCACGATGTTTTCCTTTTAATTTATTGTCTCAATCGTGTTCTTCGAAATGAGTAACACTTGCCCAACAAAGAGGCGTATATAAATAGCTAAATGCAAAATAAACATCGTTTATTTTTACGTACTTGTATACTCCGTCCAACCATTTATGTCACTTTTGACAATTATGCAATTGTGCCTCCGAAGTTCCGTAATTTACAACCATAGACAAAACAGCAATATTTCCTGGAGTCTTTTATTTTTTTTTTCATTTTAGTGAAGCGACGTGCTCTTTAGCTCCGATATTTATCGAGCCAACAGATTATGTAACGAAAATTATTCAACTTGATAAATTTTGGTACGTGCCTAATAAATTATACTGAAATGAAATAAATTATAAATAATTATAATAAAAATTGTTATTGGTTATTGTAATGTATCGTCGGATTCTTCTCCATATGAACGAGAATTATCACTGAATCCTCATCAAAATTAATTATAGTACAAATATTCTGGGATGATCCCTGATTTGACGTTTGTCATAGGGATGAGGTTTTTAAGGATTTTGTTTTTTTTTGTTGTTGAGTAGGTACCGGAGAAGAAATAAATTAAATGTAAATGCAGTTTTTGTTTATGATTCAATAGCCATCGCCAGCGATGGGTGAATAATAATAATAATTGCTTATATACAACCAATTATAGCGTCCTAAAATCTATGAAATTGTTCAAGAATATTTTTGACTTTGATCTTGACGCTTATACATATGTGTTAATTTAATTTATTACGAGTGCTGTCACCTTGGTCTGTGCCACGTATTTTTTATTGTTTCCTGCTGTGCTTTCTGTTAAGTTTTTTGTTATTGTTTTTATTTCTTGACTTTTAGTTTTTTTTTATTTGGCTTTTGTTTTTTTTTTTTTTTTTTTGTTTTTTTCATTTGGTTGTTGTTCAGCCCTGCTAAAAAGACTCAAGAAGTTTGTCCTCAACAGTCCAGTGCGATAATTTGTAGTGCGTCTACGCGATTATATTGATCGCGAAAAACAAAATAATGGACCCCTCCTGCCTCTTGAAAACGTTGTATGAAGTGTTTATGTATTTACTTAATCAAAATCTATTCGCTTAAAAGCGAGACTTATATAAATAGTTTATAAAATACGTAAATTAGTGGACGTCATTAAGTTATATTCCGAAGAATTTTATGAATTGTCACAGGGTTCATCCTAGAAAATTTGTAGTGTATTAATTCTTGAGTACACAAATTGTGAAATACAACATCACGATCCCAATCAGACAATATCTTCTTTTTTTAACTTGCTCATATTCACGATTTTAATAAAAAATCTCGAATCGGAAACGCATTAGGACATCACTAAATGATTGCAATTCGAGATGTCGAAAGTTAAATAAATGGTTGGATGGAGGACAACTCTCACTTATGTAAGGCGATTAACACACTGCACCGCGCCCCGCGACGGTGCGCGAGACGCGGAATCGCGCGCGGTGGTGGAGACGCAGATCTGCGTTAACGCGCGGTTTAATATGCGCGGGGGGCGGGGGCAGCGGTCTAGCGGCCCCGTGCCACTCAAACTTCTCGCTTCGTAGTTGATCGCCGTAGTGATTACACATGTAGCTGAGATCCTTCTTTGACAAGAATGGTTAATAATACAGAACTCATTCAGAACGCTGCAGTTATACTGTCGATTGTTTTTGTTTACTCAAATAAAAAGACACCGAAGATAACAATCAATTTCATTGCAAAGATTTAAGAAAATATGAAGATTAATTTTTCAACTACACACGAATGTCAACTGAAGCCTTTGATTGTTTGTTAGGGAACATCCGAACGACAATTACTGGAATAGACACAAATTGAGCAAAAATCTGCGCGGTAGTGCGGAGCGCAGTGTGCCATACCCTGCGAACCGCAGTCAGTTTGTCAGCGTGTTTGACGGCGCGTGATTTCCATACAAACTGAGGTACTTCAGTGCATCGTTAAAAAACGCAGCTCCGCGCTCCGTCGCGAGACGCGGTGCAGTGTGTTAATCGCCTAACGGTGCTTCGGAAGTCCTCTCGTCACAGACAACTTCAAAAGGTTTTATTTATGCGCCTGTTCTGTACAGTTGCTGGACAGAAGCCTTCCAACTTATTCCCCATTGATCGCGGTTTTGGGCAGCATGGCCTTTAAAAAGGAATCCAAAAATCTTCCTTATCTATTTAGGGCCGCTATGAAAACCCTTTACATAATTTGTTAATGTGATAAAACACTTGACGTATGAGTACATGTGGCTTCAAAGGGTAGGAATTGGGAGTCCGAGAAAGAGGTCTTTGCCCAGCTGTGTGAGAGTTGCAAGAAACAAGAATTATTTATGAAAACGATCGTGCAAATTACTCATTATGTACATTATTTTAGTATTTATTATTCATAATTTTAATGTAGATAAATTGTTTTTCGAATAGTTTACTTTTCGGGGACCGGATATGGGTGTATTGTTATATACTGCAAAGTTTGCACTGATTATTGATTGTTGATTTA